ACCATTGCTACTTTTCTTTGATCTTCTTTGCTTTTATGAATTCCACAAACAAGTACTTAAAACACTGTTCAGCTCAAAATTGCCCAAAAAATAGACGAATTTGCGGAATCCTCAACCATAATTGCGGAATCCAAAACAGTTTGTGGAGTCCACAAACAAACAATAAGACATGTGTATAGTTAAATTGAGCTATTGTGGAATCCGCAACTGTAAGCGGAACCCGCATTTTGTTTGCGGATTCCGTTTACATATATGTATATATGTACTAGCGTTTAAAATTATATCTTTTAATTACAGGATTTCATTTCACTAGAATAGGACTTTACTAGATCAGTGTTTGGGATTAATGAAATCTCAGTTACTGATCAGTGTTGGGATCAATAAAATACCAAATACTGAACAAATTCAACGATTTGCTATGCGATGGGTTTCTTATCAAGCTCAACCTAATGACTCCAAATAATGAGTTTATTCCATATTTTTTTCCATATTTTATTCCATCAATCCGTAATATTGACCAGTATTTGAGATTGACAGAATCCCAAATTTTGACCTAATTTGGGAAATGCTGTTTGTTGTGTTTCCATACACTCTCAACCCAATGACTACAATTACTGAATTCATTCGCCGTTAAGCTTCCAAAATCAGTATTTGGGATTGACGCAATTCCAAATACTGACCTAATTTGGCGATATGCTGTTTGTTGTGCTTCCATACACTCTGAACCCAATGACTAAAATCCTGAAATTATTCGCCGTTATGCTTCCAAAATCAGTATTTGGGATTGACACAACCCCAAATACTGACCTAACTTGGCGATATGCTTTGTGTTGTATTTCCATACACTCTCCACTCAAGGACTCCAAATATTGAAATTGATCGGTGTTGCCTTTCCGAAATACTAAAAGATGACATCCACCGATTTAGGTAATCAATGTTTTAAGACTTGTTCGTGGATTTCACTGACAATGGTTAAGTCCTTGCTTCTAAATTCCGCATAGCCAGGGATAAGAATTCCAGCTCTAGCTTTTAATTGTTCATATGCTGGTTCAGTTTTGAACAAAATTCGGAATCGACCTACAGTTTGCGGAATCCGCTTACAATTGCGGATTCCGCTTAATTTTTTGCGGAATCCACTAACAGTTGCGGAATCCAAAATAACCAGCTATATTCTCTTGTTGCGGAATCTGCGACACATCAAATGTACGTTACACTCATATGTACGCGGAATCCACGGGAGTTTTGTAAGTGGAATCCACTTACATTTTGGAACATGTTTAAATATTAGTTTTTGGAATCCAGGATCATACAGACACAAAATTGTGTGCTTTTCCAGTGCACAGTTTGGCCTCGTAATGTAGTAGTATGTAGCTTGATATTCACTAATACATAAGTTAAGCTGTAAAAAAAATAAATGGCTGACCCCAACAAAGTTTGAATCTTCAGAACTAAAGTCCCTCCTGTGGCTGAAAACTCAAGTAAAGTAAAACGGGTGGACTCCACCACCTCAAAGGAATTTCAGGAAGCCAATTTTACTAGTTTCACAGGAAGGCTACTAGAGATGGTTTGAGCCGGGAACCCTCGGACCCCCCCTGGCCCAACTGATAACGATTCCCGGAAGTGTGAAAGAACCTAGTTGATGCAGTTATCATCTGGTCCCCTACTTCCGGGGTTATGCTCTAAGTGAACAGTCCGCACCACGACTGAACGCAGGGAGCCAAAACGTTGGGATATGGCATGTAGTGGGTTTTTATGCAGTTATGCAATTGCACAGAAAAGTATGTAATTAAGACATAATGTTAAAACATCTTCCAGGATTTATTTCATGAAATATCTGAATGACGAAAACAAACCATTTACTGATCACAGAGAGCCCATACATGTTGGGTTTTTTAAACTGCAGTACGCAAAGCTGAGCATGTTGGATTTGGAGCTTTTCTATAACTTTTTTGACGAATTTTCATGTAAATAAGCTCGAAGAATTAGAGATGGACAAAAACTCGTTTCTTTACCTCTTGCTGAAAAAAATTTATTCGAATGCAACCAGCCAGAGAAGTGGTACTTGGAAACACTGGAGGAAAAAAAGTGTGTTCTCTCAAACAACTGTTCTCAAACAACATCCGAGAAACAAACGTAAAAAAAGACCGTTACGATCGAACTGACCCGCCCGACCGTAAGCTGGCTCCAGTTCTTCCTTGTTTAGGGGTGGAGGATGTTGCAGCGCAAATTGAACGAGTATAAATGCAGCATATAAAATGAACCAAAATATAAATGCATATAGGGACAGTAGCCGAGCGTATACAGGGTGCGTCTCGGCGGGTTCGACTCCGGTTCGAGTCCCGCCTAGGTCATTTCCTTTCTAGAACTCAAATATGCTCCGAACTTGATGGGACGCTCCGTAACCAGCTTCGAACCCCCCTCTCCCGTTCTTCCTTGTTTAGGGGTGGAGGATGTTGCAGCGCAAATTGAACGAGTATAAATGCAGCATATAAAATGAACCAAAATATAAATGCATATAGGGACAGTAGCCGAGCGTATACAGGGTGCGTCTCGGCGGGTTCGACTCCGGTTCGAACCCCGCCTAGGTCATTTGCTTTCTAGAACTCAAATATGCTCCGAACTTGATGGGACGCCCCGTAACCAGCTTCGAACCCCCCTCTTTAAAAAAAACTATTTTAACCGTATTTTCGCTCTAATTTGGTTCAGCCTTGAGCCAAAAACCGGCAAAAACGTCAAAAACCGTCAAAAAGAGCAATTTGTCTCAAGGACTAATACTGGCCATTTAGCAGCTTGCTATGAGTTATTCAGCTGATTATGGCTGATGTTAAAAATGGTAAAGTATGTTAAAAATATCAATATATTACGAAACTTCGGGAGTTATTTTGCCGAGAAACTTCTCTTTAATTCAATTGTTTGAAAACCGAATTTTTTACGAATTGTGGAGATTGACACGCACTTTTGGCGCCCCACAATGGACACGAGTTGTTCTATTAACAAGGGACACGAGTTGTTCCATTAACAAGGGACACGAGTTGTTCTATTAACAAGGGACACGAGTTGTTCTATTAACAAGGGACACGAGTTGTTCTATTAACAAGGGACACGAGTTGTTCTATTAACAAGGGACACGAGTTGTTCCATTAACAAGGGACACGAGTTGTTCTATTAACAAGGGACACGAGTTGTTCTATTAACAAGGGACACAAGTTGTTCTATTAACAAGGGACACGAGTTGTTCTATTAACAAGGGACACGAGTTGTTCTATTAACAAGGGACATGAGTTGTTCTATTAACAAGGGACACGAGTTGTTCCATTAACAATAGACACGAGTTGTTCTATTAACAATGGACACGAGTTGTTCCATTAACAAGGGGCACGAGTTGTTCTATTAACAAGGGACGCGAGTTGTTCCATTAACAAGGGACACGAGTTGTTCCATTAACAAGGGACACGAGTTGTTCTATTAACAAGGGACACAAGTTGTTCTATTAACAAGGGACACGAGTTGTTCTATTAACAAGGGACACGAGTTGTTCTATTAACAAGGGACATGAGTTGTTCTATTAACAAGGGACACGAGTTGTTCCATTAACAATGGACACGAGTTGTTCTATTAACAATGGACACGAGTTGTTCCATTAACAAGGGACACGAGTTGTTCTATTAACAAGGGACACGAGTTGTTCCATTAACAAGGGACACGAGTTGTTCCATTAACAAGGGACACGAGTTGTTCTATTAACAAGGGACACGAGTTGTTCTATTAACAAGGGACACGAGTTGTTCTATTAACAAGGGGCACGAGTTGTTCTATTAACAAGGGACACGAGTTGTTCCATTAACAAGGGACACGAGTTGTTCTATTAACAAGGGACACGAGTTGTTCTATTAACAAGGGACACGAGTTGTTCCATTTATAAAGAGACACGAGTTGTTCTATTAACAAGGGACACGAGTTGTTCTATTAACAAGGGACACGAAATGTTCTATTAACAAGGGACACGAGTTGTTCTATTAACAAGGAACCGTTACTTTTTTATCGAGGGAAGTCACGAAGTCACCGGTCTTTTTCCGTTACGTAGCGCAAGTGGAGCGATCTCGGTAGAAAAGCACTGCAATCTGATATGGCGAAATCTAAAAAAGTCATTAGACTAACAAAACCTACGTTAAACTTGACATTGATTACTTGATCATTAAAAAAACTGAAATTGAAATGTTTATTACGTGTCCTTCCTCAAAAAAAGGACGAGCAAATTAATTTTATGTTTTGTTCTTATTTCGAAGCGTTTTCAATTTGACTCATCGATATGAACTGTCTTTACATTGCCAGGACGATGAGAGAAGACATTTTTTTCAAAAACCGCACACCCCCCCCCCCCCCCTCCTCACTAGTCGAGAAAATCCTAGATCCGCCTCTGAGTGCGACTTCAAAAAATACTTGTTGGGGAAAGAGAAAAAGAGCTTTCAATTGGATCATCTGCAACGGTGTGCGCAGAAACTTTTTGACAAGGCTCAGATTTTCTGAAAATATATATAAAACCCTTCACGAGGATTTTTATAATAATAATCATAATAATAATAGAATAATGTAGTTTCTGCGAATCGCAGAGGATCTATCAGTAGGCCTTAACAGTCCTGTCGAGGATAGTGCATTTGTATTATCTCCCCACATTCCAGATTGTGTTATTTTGCTGAGCGAAGCTCTTTTTTGCGACTAAATGCCGTTACTTTTGTGTCTAGAACTTTCACGTGGTACCACTATTGCAGCCGAAATTGGTCAGGCTGTGGTAGACCTGAAGCTAGAGGTCAACTGAGAGCTCGTCCTCACTCACTGTCATTGCCATGCCATGGGATCGAATGCACGATCTGACGATTTCATTATATAATTAGTATATGATGCTTTGCAAGAAACTTATTTGGCAAAATCATTTGTAAAATCTGGTTTCTTAATTAAGAATAATCCAACAACAAATGAAGTAAATTTTGTAAAATTGTGTCTTAAAAGTGACAGGTTAATCAAACTCTGTATTCATAAAATCAAACTAATCAATTGTGCAGCACTTAATTAACTAAAGTTAAGGTTAACAAAAAGCACGCTTGTTAATTTGTTGAAACCAAATATCTATTTTTTAAAAATCAGATATTTTGGCTAGCATTCAGAATCTGACAGAAGTGATTCACAGAGCGGCGACAGTTGGTGAACTGGAGTAACGAAGCTTTTGCTCTTTCGGATGAAGCTTTTCACGCCTCCAAGTCCCCTTTCTTCTTCCTCTTTGTTTACGAAACTCCTCTGCCCCTCCCCTTGGAGCGAGGAGTGCATCAGGCTGTTTGATTGTATATTGTGTTGGAACGACATTGAGTGACACTTAATTCTGTAGAGTCTGTTTCTCTGGTATCTTGGACTTAGCTGGACGTTTGGGAGGGGCATTTGGTGGGATTCGTCACCCTCGTGAGTGCATGCGACCACATTCAGGAAATCGTCTTCGACTAAATGCGAGAAGGAACCGGTTCGAGTCCCGGTAGGGTCCACTTGAATGGAAACACTTCGACATTTGATACTTCCTCCCGAGGGGTTCGGGGACTCCCCAGGTCGCTCAGAGGACTCCTGTGATGCGCTATTTTCCTCTCGATGTTGTCCTTGACAAATTCTCTCACTAAGCATGACGTCAGAGTAACTCGGCAGCATTTCGGCAGTCGCCCCGGTTCGAACGCCAGCTACGTCTTCGTTTGATCCGTTTTCATCTTCATTCGACAAACAGAGCGCATTTTCTCTGCCTCTGTTATTTGCATCTTGACCTGGTTGGGGATGGTGATTTATTGGACTCATAAAAGCGGGTAGATTGACGGTCAGGGGCTGGGGACTTCCAGGTGGGGAGTTCGGACCCTGATGACGTGGGGAGCGTGGAGACGTCACGTGATTTGAAGGTGGGGGAGGGGGGTTGTTGTCGTATCGGGTTCCAAACACTTTCTCCACTGTACAGCTGACGTGGGTGGTTTTGAGGGTTAAAATGAGTCTGTAGGGCCAAGAGAGGAGGCAACAGGTGGCGATCCAGAAGCACATCTGGCTCATGTACCACGGAAGTCTGGATCCCTCCTGGAACAGAGTGAGGTCTTCCTGCCATTCTACGTCTGTCAGATTCATGCCTGAAACCAGAAAAAAAAACATTTTAATATATAGATTTTAAAAGAAAATGTCAAATTTTTGATTTTTTTTGTTGCTAGAGTTAGAAAAAGTGGTTGAGCTAACAACGCCAAATTTGATCAATGTGCCTTATCTTTTAGTGCGTGTCGTTTTGGCGAGATTTCTTAGGTGGTTTACACCTGAGAGAAATCATAACCATCTGAGCTGTTGAAAGCTGTTTCAGGAGAATTGCTGTTGCGCTCGGACTAAGACATACATAAATCTTTTGGTTATTTTTCTGGACTCTTTTTTCTTATTGCGTTACTTTCAGCAACGAGCATGGATATTGGTTGGTCTCGAACCATTGATCTTTAGCATGAGAGGTGGATATTTAGCCATTTCAACAGCTCTGTCCCAACTTACCTTCGTATGTCTCGATGTATTCGTCTTTCGCTTCATTCTCCTCAAAAAACTTAGCCCTCTGCAGTAAGTAGTCATTCTCTGCTTCGACATTTGAGAAGCCGAATGTCTTGGTGAAGTGGACCCCAATTAGAGACCCCTTCTCCAGGGCAGCCCTGACCCCCTGCACTCCACTACTTCTGTCTTCAACTCCACAGGTGGAGAAGTCAAATGCTGCCAGGGCTGTGTGCGTATTGACCTATAAGTAAATCGAGTTAGAATTTAAAAGGATACACACATGATTGGTTGTTGGGGCGGATCTAGGATTTTCTCCAGGTGGGGCTCAAAAATTTTTAAATTTCAAATAGGTTTTCCAAGCACGATAAAGACCTTACTTTGACCAAACTTTCAAGGCAGTTTTTTAAATGGCGAAAAAAGACGTTTTTAGCATTTTATGGATAGTTTTGACAAATTTTATGGATAGTTTTTAAAATTTCGCTGTTTAGATACCCCCCCCCCCCTCCCCCCCACCAAAACAATAAGCCTCCCACTTCGTACCCCCCCCCCCCAAGGAGCCTGCAGGAAAAAGTTTAGGGTCGGTCAGCAAGAACGGATGTTCTAAAATAGTGCAAAGGCGAACATTTTGAAAAGTCAAGCGCCAACTTGTGTCGTGCTCGTGGTAGTTTGCCATTGTTATGATGAATTAAAAGAGGACCGGCCTATAAGCATGTGTGTCGATTAGAATGCCATTTAAAAGAATGCAGTTGGCTTGTTCGCAACTTCATAATTTGCTTACTTAATTTGGAATTTTTAAATTGCGTGCACTTCGCTGAATATATCATTTTAATTCCTTTAAAAATTACTTATATTTTAATAAAACTTTTATTTAATATTTTAGCTGAATTGTTTCTCGACTGAATGAACACCTTATTGAAGCAATTGTCGCATAGACCGGGGGCTATTCTCATGTGCGAAGGACCGAATGGGCGAAAAAACTTGTGGGCCAAGGACCGAAGACAAAATTAGCCGAAAGTCAATTTTTAAGAAAAAATTATTGCCATTTTCAGTTAAAATGAATTAAACGAGGGGGCATGTTTCTGCCGTTTTTAAATTCGGCCAATATCAATACTTCAGTCCCTGGAAATGTTTACTTTCTTCCCAAATTTTAGATTACTGAAATCTGATTGGCTGATTTTTATTTTTGCGCATTCGGTCCTTCGCGCATGAGGGATTCCACCGCATAGACCCACGTGCTTATCGCTACGCTCCCGATCAATCGGAATAATTTTCTTACCCTCTCGTAATAATCTTGAGTTGTGACGTAAGCATCTCCGTTTCTATACGAAGTGGTCTGTCTGCTCCTTTTGGCATAATGGTAGCAAATCACTCTCCACCAGATAATAGGATAAGCAGCCCTGTATTTGTCCAACAGTTGTCTGCCTCTCTCGCACCCAGTCTTAGTCCGGAGGTCTCTTCTTAACTGGCAGTGGTAGGCTTCTATGAGTTGGAGAACGTAAAGGACTATTAGGAATGTCACTGGCACGTAGATGTAGCTGGAACCACACTTGCCTGGAAAAAATACATCTTTTTTTGGGAAAAGACATCCCAGGGTTTTGATAAAAACCATCTAATGGTTTCGATAAAAATTTATGAGATACATCATGAAGATCTTTCTTAATCAATTCGTTTTGAAGAAGGGAACACAATTGACTTTTTAAGACAGTTTATCTACAAGGGAAAGAACCAACATTCGAGCTGCTCAGCTCTTGATTAAGAACTGGATCATTATTATTTACACAACTCATATAACAATTTTTAAAAATCCCATCTTGGAAGAACACAAAGCATGGTTTTTACTTCTTGTACTATAAAAATAAGTTTCTTTATAAAGATTAACTTTCAATTTATTGTCGAGTTTCGTTTAGTAGGCAAAAAAAATTTAGTAGGCAAAAAAATAGTAGGCAAAAAAGTTATTTTAGCCTCTTCAAGGGTTAAAACCAAAGCATGGTTAATCGCGTTGACCTTCTAACTGTCGTTAAAAAATGCATCTTCAAAATTCACAATAATGACAACAGTTGAATATTTAAGTTTCCTTTTATAGAGGGCGCTATCTGTTGTAATATAATGCGGAGAAAACTTAAGATAATCGAACAGTATACGTAATGAATCACTAAAAGCTAAGAGAATCAATAAAAGCTAAGAATCAATAAAAGCTTAGAATTAATAAAAGCTAAGAATGAAGAAAAGCTACAACTTTGGGAAAAACTGTCCCAAGATTTTGGGAAAACTATTGCAGGGTTTTGGTTAAAATTGCCCCGGGATTTTAATGGTTCAGGACAAATTTGAGCATCTTTTCTACGGCGCCGACAAAGAACTCGACCAAAATTAACTTTTAAGTGGAACATTTATGTGGACCAATGGTCTCGTTAGTTGTCCATTCCGATGATAAATGCATTGATGAAATTACTTTTGTTTTGCTAATGACTATATTTATCAATCGGAAAAATAAATTCTTTCTTTCTTTCTTTCTTTAACTAACTGTACATAGGACTGACCGTGTTGTATGTGGAATTGAGAGTCTGTCAGTTTGGTCACTGACACTTGGCTGGAGTTCCACTCACACCAGAAAATTCCAGTCCCATTGGCCCACATCAGCACACTCAGTGCCAGACTCTGGAACAAGTGTTTTTTTTCAGTTAGATTTGTGGAAGTATTTGACCTGGGTATGTAGCTCTTATTTTTCTAAAATCTGTATTCCGAATTTTTTCACAACACGTTCGTAGCACAATTTTTAAAGAAAAAATTATATCAAAAATTCGTATCGGAAAAAATAAAAGGTTATTTTAGCAATTTTGTTGTCAAAAACTTTTGTATTGTATGGCAAAAAAAACTTTCTTGGGTTTCTATGGAGATTTAAGAAAATTTGGTGCTATTAGCATAGAAAGTGTTGCCTAAATTGGGTACACCTAATCGATTATATTTGCAACATTTTTCTCGACGTAACCTATTTTTATCCGAGGATTTTTGGTGCGGGCAAGCTAAAAACTTAAAGGCTTGAAATTTTTTGATCTCACTATTTGAACTGTGAGTTTTGTGAAGTGTAAGCTTTGTCGTGGACAAATCAGATTTGTCGTGGAATCCACAACATTGCTTCTTTTCTTTGATCTTCTTTGCTGTTTTGGATTGTGCAAAAAAAATTGTCAAAACACTGCACCGCTCAAAATTATTCTAAGACAGGCGCATTTGAAAAACTTTTAAGGCCAGTTGAAAAGTTTTTTTGGTTGAATAATTGACAAAATAATGAGAAAAAGAAGAAGATTTTTGTTAAATTTTATCCTCCCACACGCTATGTAAAACACTAAGGGTGTGTTTAGCGTCTCGGTATTTGATAAAAGTTTATTATGCTGGACTCAATTCAATTTGAAACGCATTGATTCGCTTCTTACACTTATACTTATAGCACTTTAATTATCCCAAATTGGCCGAATTAGCAATTTTCAAAGGCCCGTAACGCTACAAAAAGTGTCACAGGTGAAATATCTTTTTAAATTTGAGCTTAGGATAACAATATCTCTCAGATGGTATAAAAAATGCGTAGTTAACAGTCGAAAATTGACTGAATAAAAAAACGTATTCGCAACTGTTAGCGGAATCCGCAAAAGATAAGCGGAATCCGCATTTTGTTTGCGGATTCCATTAAAAATGAAAGCGTTTTTTTAAATGTTCTTATGCCTGCAAGTTGTGCTAGAAAACGAAATATTATGTTCACAGTATTTGATTGTTCGCATTTTTGCCCTTCTTATCAAGCTAAAAACTTAAAGGCTTGCAAGCTAAAAACTTAAAGGCTTGAAATTTTTTGATCTCACTATTTGAACTGTGAGTTTTGTGAAGTGTAAGCTTTGTCGTGGACAAATCAGATTTGTCGTGGAATCCACAACATTGCTTCTTTTCTTTGATCTTCTTTGCTGTTTTGGATTGTGCAAAAAAAATTGTCAAAACACTGCACCGCTCAAAATTATTCTAAGACAGGCGCATTTGAAAAACTTTTAAGGCCAGTTGAAAAGTTTTTTTGGTTGAATAATTGACAAAATAATGAGAAAAAGAAGAAGATTTTTGTTAAATTTTATCCTCCCACACGCTATGTAAAACACTAAGGGTGTGTTTAGCGTCTCGGTATTTGATAAAAGTTTATTATGCTGGACTCAATTCAATTTGAAACGCATTGATTCGCTTCTTACACTTATACTTATAGCACTTTAATTATCCCAAATTGGCCGAATTAGCAATTTTCAAAGGCCCGTAACGCTACAAAAAGTGTCACAGGTGAAATATCTTTTTAAATTTGAGCTTAGGATAACAATATCTCTCAGATGGTATAAAAAATGCGTAGTTAACAGTCGAAAATTGACTGAATAAAAAAACGTATTCGCAACTGTTAGCGGAATCCGCAAAAGATAAGCGGAATCCGCATTTTGTTTGCGGATTCCATTAAAAATGAAAGCGTTTTTTTAAATGTTCTTATGCCTGCAAGTTGTGCTAGAAAACGAAATATTATGTTCACAGTATTTGATTGTTCGCATTTTTGCCCTTCTTATCTAACCATTGTAAAACCACGCTCACAGCTAAAAATTGATGGTTACTGATGTGAGGTAGGTGCGTGGAAGAAGAGCCTTCAAAGCTAATGATTGCATCATTTTCTTCACGATTGCATGATATCTCCTGTTTCAGTTAAAGATTTATTACCTTCCAGTGCAGAGTGTTGTGCAACTTCCTGCAGGACATGAGAGCCTTCAGCCTCCCCCTGAGCCCACCTGTTCCCCTCCCTCTCCCACATCTCCCCCCAGCTCCCCCCACTCCATTCCCCACTCCTCCCCCCGCGCTTGCCATTGCAGTCCAATCGGAGTAGGAAATTTAATTGAGGCTAGTATAAACTTGCTAAGCAGATGTAAACCGCTTCGCTTAAGAGCAGAAATAATTGCATTATAGATATTTGGGAACAACCAAAGAACGTTTCCGGCTACGATGGACCGTATATTTTTTTAAACTCTTTTAAACTATTTCGAAACGAGTTGTTTAAAATCTAAACTGGATTTCTTGAAATTAATCTTAAAGAATTGGCATTTTGTTGGTTTTCAATAATAAAAAAAGACAAATAACACAAAGTGAGAACAGTGATGGCACGAAATTGTTAGAATGAATTCTACAATGTTGTTTAAATTGCCCTGATTAGTTTTATATGAAAAACTGGGACGAAAATTGCAGAAGAAAAAATGTCACTGATTTGATTTTAGTCTGCTCTTAAGGTTTAGTATTTTACTCAATATGTAATTTGAAAGGGATTATTTGAAATTAGCAATTCTGGAAAAATGTTTTTTTTTTTGGTAAAAATATAAATTCTTATCGGTAGTAATAGAAATGAACTCAAGTAACGATGGTTTAGTGTTTAGTGGAAGACAAGCGCTAGACGACCACTTGTGTAAGAATGGTTATTAAACAAACAAAGTTAACAAGTAAAGAGATGTTCTCCTTAGACAGGTACAGATTGAGTTTGAAAGAGAATTGGAAAACAAATCTTCAGTTGAAAAAAAATTCAATTGGAGAACATGAAGAAAGGGGTAAATAAACGGAGTCAATGAAGTGAACTGGGGATGAAAAAGAATTTTGGGGGAGCCAAAAAAATGTCTGCTTGCCGGCTTTATGTTTATTTCACATGCGTGTTTTGTAAATTTGATCTGTTTTTTTTTGTCAGATGGGCTATCGTTAAAAGCAATCAAGTGTCATCTTCACCGTTAGAATGATAATAAAGATTACAGGAAAGAAAATAAAAGTTACTCTAAAAATCAATTTCAAATTAACAAAAAATTAGGAAGAGCTGCTGGCTTTTTATCCAAATTCATTAAGTGGGTGCAATTGTTTGGAATTTTGAACTCTGAATTCGACCAACGCTTGAACAATCTTTTCAACTTTATACTCTTTGCTATTACCATTTACATTACAAAATGTGATTGGTAGGATTATAAGACTACGTTTTTTTGTTCCACTTTAATCTAGTTGGTTCCGCTACTCTGAAAAAAAAATACAAGCACTTGCTGGGCGACTAAGTTCCAAGTTCCTATTCGTTCAAATGAAGGTGAACCTTGTAGCAATTTAAAAGCTCTCAATAAAAACTTTAAGAAAAGAAGGTAAAAAAATGGTGAAGAAAGCAGTAAAGCTAGCTTAAAAAAAGTTGTAAGTTGTTTTAATAAATTGTAGTTTTTCGTGATTTTGAATTGAATTTGATAGCTATGACAATAAAGACATCAGATCTAGCTAAACTAGTTGGAAAATAGAAGACAAAAAAAAACGAAAACAGATACTTGTTAATTCGAAAAAAGACAGTTGCTTCAGGCTAATAAGGAGGAAAGACGCGTAAGAAAAAAGTCGGCTTAGTAAAATAGCACTGCAACTGAATCCGAAATCTGTAGCAAAACCTAACTTATGGCCAGAAAAATGTTATATGGAAAAAATTTTGTAGAAATACATTTTGTACCAAAAAGTTATTCATATTAACTTTCCATCAAAACTTCATATCTTCCTCTTGTCATAAAATTGTCACTCTCATAGTGTTTTTATAATTCAGAATCAAAATTTTTATACAATTTAACTGGTTTTTCGAAACAGGCTCATGTAATTTAGCTAAATCAGAGACCAAAATCAGAAGAGTTTGGATGATGTATCGTATTAAAATTCTTCCAGTTGCTGATCAAAATCAAAAGATGCCGAGAAAATTTGATCAGGATTTCTCCTTTTTTTTCAAATTTAATTAAAGTTCGTGATGTTTTCTGATTAATTGTTACAAGCAATTAACCATAATAAATGCATGGAATACTTTTCAAAATCAGGCATCAATTATCAATTGGTGATCGATTGTACTTGGCAATTTGAAAAACTACTGATTTAATTTTATAATATACAATTTGACTTTCAGCGCTAATATTCACTAAGTTTGAGGTGAAAGTGCACTGGAGAAAGCTCGGAAAGTTTTGGCAAAATAAGGTCATCGGAAAAAATTTTTTGGCGACATTCTGATTTTTTTTCAAAACCCTTATCCACTCTTGGGACATTCTGGATCCGCGCATGATTTTTTTCCAGTTCAAAGTTCAAGTATTTTAGCTGAATAGATTTGGCTTTTGTGTGCTTTTTCTTAGCAAAATAGCAAAGAAGTTTTGGATTAAATTGGAATACTGGCTTTTTGGAGAGTTTTGGTGTGGATATCTTACAAAATACTGAATCTCAGCCATAAGCTATGATTGGCATTTATCAATTTGGCGAGGAAGTTTTATAAGAACCGTTTTTATCATGGAAGTCTAATCTTTCTTGTGTTTTTTTCTTAAGTCTTCATCATTGCCTAACCACTTTAGGAGATAAATTGCGAAACATTTGATTAAAAATTGATGATTGTTTCCTTTTTGATGTGATATTTCATTAAAATGGTCGATCAAAAAAGAAGGGTAGTTCAAATAATGATGAAGAATGCGCACAAAAATCAATCAGTCTTTTTCTAAAATTTGGCCAAACTCGGTAGTGATTGGCATGCTTGCTAATGCACTGATAAGATAGTCAAAATTTCCAGCCTAGAGATCCAAAAGGACACATGTGTTTAATATCAGCATTGGTAGCATCGTCCAGCTTAAATTTTCCTTCTTTTTTCCTTTCTCTTCTGATTTTATTAAAGTAGCCACAATGGCTGCAAAAGAGCTAAAGACCATTAAGCACTGATAAAACTGGAGAATTTGTAGAGTATCGGAAAAGTTGTCCCCCCAATCTATGCCCTAATTGGACCTCAGTCCTCAATTAGAAGATCTATTGTTCAATATTTCCTATCTCTTGGGAAAAGGAACTATTTTCTGAACACAATTTTTACTTCAGACATGTCAATTTACAAAACAGTCATTGATAATTATGACGTTGACTATGTACTGGAATGATATCAAATGAAACTTGCTCGTGTTAGGGCAAAACGTAGAATGACCCAATTTGATGTTTTTTTTGCCAATTTGAGAAAATTTACAGAACTTTTTATTCAAATTTTCTTCAAATCTGCCAATTATCAAACTTTTCTTTTTCTGGCGGTTTTCAATACTGTTTGAAATGATTTGCGTTTGAAATTATTCTTAACCTCATGCTTTAAGTCAGGCGCGGATCTAGGAATTCCTCGAGGGGGGGGGGGCGATTTTCAAAAAAACAAATTGTCGACCTTTTTTTTAGTTTGACCAAACAAATTTTTCTGATCTATACAAACCACTATAAAGACCTTAATTTGATAATTTGATCTAATTTCCTGCGCTGCAGGCAAATATTTGAAAAAATTCCAAAAATGCAAGCGTTTTTAGGCACTTATTGGAAAATTTCGACCAAAAAATCGCGTTTTCTCGTCGCGAGCTCCCCCCTCGTAATAAGTATAGATAAACGCCAAAGGCGCCTTTTAAAAAAACTTAAAATCAGTCAGCCAAAAATGGGTATCTCAAAATAGTACAAAGAGAAGACCCAACTTCGGCCCAACTTTGAGCAACAATTGAGCGGTTTGAGCTTCATCAGCGCTCAACTTTATGCAGAAAACTCTGAAACCGCTCAAATATTCTAATTTTTTTCTTAAAATTTTTATTCATGTGTTTTTGTTTCAGGGCTAAACTAAATAAGCCAAAAACAACCTAAATTGTTATAGGGCCAAAAAACGGTTGTCAAGGTTGATTAAGTCTCCAAAAAAGTCTAAACTTATTTTAAAAGTAAAGCAGAATTATAACAAAAAAAATTGAAAAACCAAGAAATAAAAATGTTGAGAAGGTTTATCTCTTCAAGTGTCTCACACACTCACAAAAATGTATAATGGATTTTCAACATTTGAAAAAAAAATTGAAAAAAAATGTTTATAAATGAATAGAAAGGTCCATCTTAATCGTTTTAAATTGTTTTAAAGGATAAGGCTAAGTTTTTCCTTACGTTAGTCTAAACTTGTTTTAAAAGTGAAGCAGAAATAAAACTAAAAAAACATCGAAAATCCAAAAAATACAAAATTTGAGAAGGCTTACCTCTTCAAGTGTCTCATACACTCACACAAAAATAATGGATTTTCATCATTTTAAAAAAATGAAATTTTTTTTTTAAATGAATAGAAAGGTCATTCTTAATCGTTTTAAATGATTTTAATGGATAAGGCTCAGTTTTTCCTTAAGTTAGTCTCAACTTGTTTTAAAATTAAAGCAGAAATATAACTAAAAAAAACTTTGAGAACCCAAGAAATACAAGGTTTGAGAAGGCTTATCTCTTCAAGTGTCTCACACACTCACACACATATATAATGGATTTTCATCATTTTTTGTGGCGTTTAAAAAAAATTATTTATATATGAATAGAAAAATCATCTCAATCGTTTTAAATGATTTTAATGGATAAGGCTCAAATTTTTCCCTAAGTAGGTCTAAACTTGTTTTGAAAGTAAAGCTGAATTATAACTCAAAAAAAAACATTGAAAATCCAAGAAATACGAAACTTGAGAGATTCAAGTTTTTAGTTTTTCTTGAAAAAAAAAGAAATAAATGAAACCTTGCAAAACGTACATTTGATGAATTTTATATGGTTATACTCGTCAATAAGTATTTGAAGGTCTTCCCCTCAAGGAAATATTCAATTATACTTACAAAGTGATTTCTCTCCTGGTCTTAGAATGCAACCTTATTAGGCGTTAATGACAGCATTTGAAAGGCTTTAATAACAGTTTTATGTTTACTAGTCCAAAATATCGTTTTTTTCATTCCGAATGGAACAGAAAAATAATTATTAAAATC